TTGAATGAATACCTGAATTATTGATGGCGGTAAAAATATTATGATTTCAGTTTATTTTTGTGATAATATAAAACACTAACATATATTTTATTACGTTTTTCCTATAAGCAGATTTTTCTTTTAGATGATCGATGAGACAGGAAATTCTGATTGGATAACTAATTCCGCCTTTTCCTTTATCCCCGAATATGACTGTTGTAATTAATTGCATGATAAGGAGTGTAGTACGACGTGACTCGACTCAGCTATTGAACAACTAATAATAAATAACAAGAAAGAAATATATACATTCCCACCCTGTGCGCTGTCATCTTCATCTTGTTAACAGATTATACGAGCAAACAAGAGTATTTTCCATTTGCTCTAGGGTAGTTTTTTCATTTCCATTATTTTTCTTCGTTTCAAAAACAAGTGTTAGTATAAAGAAATGAGCATGGCTTAATTAAGACTGGGAATCGCGATTGTTTTTCAACCTTTTACCAACGGGTTTTTGATTAACGATATTTCCATGCCAAACATTTTTGTTTTCCAAATAGGTAGATAAATATTATAAGCGCTAGRTTTTGACGCTAACACATATATTACAACAACAAATGTGATATAATAATTTCATTAGCTAGTTTGCGTACATACATACAATTCAATACCACAATGAATTGTGTTGTTAGTTTGCAAGTACCTTTTGTTGGATAAAAATGACACACATTTTTATGTTTGCACATAAGCCCTTAAGAGACCTGTAAAAAATTAACACGTTTGGCTTTTTTTTTAAACTCGTGTAATAATATCTAATAAATAACGCTTAAGACCCCTTAATTAAAACTATAGATTTTATAATTAATATAAACTTATACCACACACGGGCAATTTATCAAATTTTAATTAAGTTTACGAAGTATTCGTTTTAATATTAGATTTCTATACGTTGTACGGAGTTACCTTTTATTATCTAACTATTCATTTTACTAAATTGTTTACAYTAAAAAAATATATACAGAACGGTTTTAACTTTTAGATTTTGAACGRAGCGAGGAATGTATTGGTTTTACTATGATGTTTATTTCTTTTTCTTTTTTATTCTGTAAACCTCTTTTCACTCTCTAAACTTGCTCGAAAGTATCAAGTGTAGCATCTTTTCYGAAAAGTAATGTTCTTGAGCTAGTACTTAAGACAGGTCATTTTTTGATTTTCGAAATGGTACTCGAAATGAAAGCGGTTAAATGAGAAAAAAACGTACGATTTCACGATTTTATAATATTAAATAATTACGGACGACATTTTCTACCAGAAATATTGCTTCAAATAAAAAATGACAAGAGTTATTTTTTGTTATATTTTGGATTTTGTTCCTTACGGTTTAAAGTTCGGAAAATTTTAGCTATTTTGAGCTATTGATAGACATTTTAATTTTGGGAATTTTTTGTTGTAATTTGGTTAAAAATCGGTGCTATTGAATTGGCTCCCCCCTATACAGGTAGTCAATATTTTACCCTTACTAAGTGCCTTTGAATTGGCTCCCAAGAATTTACTGCTGAATTGACTCTATACCGTTTTTTTGTTCAAAAATGTATGGGTTGCCAAAATGTTAATAATTTATAGTACATATTATTCGTAATTCGTATATTTTACATCGTTACACAAAATTAAATTTAAAAATTTAAAAAACAGACAATATTTTACATAAGTGCGTCATTATAAAATGTATGTATATTATATAATTTAAAAATTTTAACGATAAAATAAGAATGTATAGGAGTCAATGATAATCGATTATTGTAGTAGATTACGACGATTAAGACGATAAGACTAAATTTAATAAATTTGTAACAAAAATAGTATAGGTATATCCAGTGTTACACTATATTATTTGAGTGAAATCTGCCAGGCTATATTAGGTAGACATCGTAAAATTAAATGCCTATAATATGAGAACCCCTGGTTAAAAAATAATATTTAACATTTTAAGGAGCCAATTAAAATATACATTTTTCAAGAGCCAATTCAAGGATAAAATTTATATTTACCCAAAATTGGGAGCCAATTCAATTGTAGCCTTAAAAACATTCGTAAAAACTTAAAATTTGGGTTGTTTACTTATATTAGCCTTACTTAGATATGGTAAAATTTTCAAAACATTTGAGTGACTTTTTAAATCTAAGACTTGAAAACTTTTAATAATCTATAATATTATATCCTAGAAAGATAAACCGTCTCCAGTCAAAATCGTTTTTCGTATACAATGATTTAATATCATTGGATTCAAATTTATTTCCATCCGTTACAGTAACCCACATATAATAGTGTGACCTGACGTCCCCCATTAGGGGGATTGTCCCGTTTTTCAGAGTTGCATCCCGCATATCTATATGTCCCACTTTGGTCCCGCATTTATGAAAATTGAAGTGGTGCATCTTGATTCCACTCTCTACTTTCTAAAGGACGTTGTAT